TTCTTCCTCATAAAATCCAACTTCCTGAATGATCTGTTCTACATATATATTGAAAAGTTATGGAGAAAGGATGCATCCCTGATGCATTCCTCTCTAGATTTTGAACCATCCAATGTTTCCTTACTCAGATCTGGCAGTTCATGACTGCTTCATGGTCCTTTACAGGTTTCATATGAGCACAATCAGATGTTCTGAGATTCTCATTCTTCTAAATGTTAGCCATAATTTATTGTGATCCACACAAATGCCTTTGCATAGCCAGTGGAACACACACATTCTGGTAATATCTGTTTTCAGTCATGGTCCATCTGACATTCACAATAATGTCCCTAGTTCCAGAGCCATTTCTAAATGCAGCTTGTATTTCTGATAGTTCTCTATCAATGTACAGTTCTGGTCATTTTTGGATAATCTCCAGCAGGATTTTGCTTTTGTGTGATATTAATGATACCATTCAATAATTTCCACATTCTGTTGGATACCCCCCCTTTTTTTCCAGTGGGAATAAATACGTATCTCTTCTGGTCAGTTGGCATCTAGGTAGTTGTCCTCCAGATTTCTTGCGACAACCTGCTAAACACATCCAGGACAGAATCTGTTTGTTGAAATATATCAGTTGGAATTCCATCAATTCTTGGGGCCTTGGTTTTTGCCATTTCCTTCAGAGTAGCTTGAACTTCCCCCATTATCACTATTGTTTTTTTTTTTTTTTTATAATATCGTGTTTCTTGAAATTATCAGCCAATTCTTTTCCCTGAATTGCTTACCATTGAGTGTGATATTAGCTGTTTTGGGGTTTTTTTCCTAAATGCCTTTTCCCAGAAGGTAATTTAAATTAAAAATGTTCCCTTATATTCCTAGTTATCTGTATGCTTTTGTTAAGAAAGTGTGTTTAAGGGGAGCTCTGGTGGCCTAGTGGCGAGGACCTGCAACTACAATCCCAGAGGCACATGGTTCGAATTCACCAGATGCTCTGCCGGGGAAGGAGGGACAATTTCCTCCTGTACCAGTCAGATCTGATTTGATGGTACACTCACACAAAAAGAATAAAAATAAAATTAAAAAAAAAAGAAAGTGTGTTTGGATAAAGTAAAATATGCTTCTCCATAAATTGGCATTATTTAATATAATGTTCTCTCTCTCTCTATATATATACACACACACACACACACACACACACACACACAAACACCTCCATACCTTTTCAACCTACATGCAGAACAGATTATCTGGGAGGCAGGGCTCTATGAGGAGAAATGTGGGGTCAAGATTGGTGGACGATTTATCAACAATCTGCGTTATGCAGATGACACAACCCTGCTTGCTGAAACTGAGGAGGACCTGAAGTGCCTGCTGCAGAGTGTCAAGGACTGCAGCCTACAATATGGATTGAGGCTCAATGTCAAGAAGACAAAGATTCTCACCACTAGACCAACTGGCAGCATCAGGATGGATGGTGAAGAGATTGAGATTGTACACAGCTTTAGTTTGCTTGGCTTCATAGTCAACAGTCTTGGCACCAGCAGCCAGGAAATTAAAAGGCACATTGCCATGGGAAAGTCTGCTATTAGGGACCTCTCCAAAGTGCTGAAGAGTGATGGTATCTCTTTGGAGACTAAGGTGCGTCTGATACAGGCCATGGTCTTCGCAATCACCTGTTATGCATCAGAGAGTTGGACAATGACCAAGGAGGATAGAAGGAGAATTGATGCCTTTGAGCTGTGATGCTGGAGAAGAGTATTGAGAATACCATGGACTGCTAGGAAAACAAACAGATTTGTCCTGGAAAGGGTTAAAACGGGTGGCTCCTTAGAGGCAAGGATTCTGAGGCTCCGTCTAACATACTTTGGGCATGTTGTGAGGAGAGACCGGTCCTTAGAGAGGGACATCATGCTTGGGAGGGTGGAGGGACAGCGCAGGAGAGGAAGGCCCTCTATGAGGTGGATTGATTCAATGACTGGGATAATTGGGATGGGAGTGTCAGAGACAGTGCGATTGGCACAGGACAGAGCAGAGTTTAGGGCTGTTGTCCATAGGGTCGCTATGAGTCGCAGGCGACTCGGCGGCACATAACAACAAGAACAACAACAATATATGTGTGTGTGTGTGTGTGTGTGTGTGTGTGTGTGTGTGTGTGTGTATATATATATTGACATCCCAAATGGCTAAACTTTTCTAGGATAAATCATGCTTAGCCATGATGGACAAAATTTTTAATATGCTGTTGGGTTTTATTTGCTGATATATTTGTTGAAGATTTTTACATCTATATTCATAAATGTTATTGCTCTGCAGTTTTATTTCCTGCTGTTTTAGATGTTTCTGTATACAAACAGATGTTAGGATTGCCTATTCACCCATTTTGCTGATATGATTTATTCTTTCCTTATTCAATAGTTATGAATTTAATCAAACTTATACAAGTGTCTGGAAAATATTTTATTCAGACTTATACCTGGAATTACTTTATAATTTTTTCTAATTTTATGCTGTAAATAATTTTTCAACTGCTTTTCATTCATTTACTTAGAAAGGATAAGAAAAGTATTTTGTTGTATGTATTAGGAGACAAACAGATTTTATACTAGAGAAGGTGAAACCAGTCTGCTCTTTGAATGAAAGGATTTTGAAGCTCCTTCTCACACACTTTGGGCATGTGGCCAGGAGGGACCAGTCCTTGGAGAAGGATATCTTGTTTGGAAGGGTGGAGGGACAGCATAGGAGAGGAAAACTGCAGATGAGATGGATTAATACAGTTACTGGGGTAAGAGGAGTAGTTGTGCTAGAAACGATGAGATTGGCTCAAGATAGGGCAGGGTTCAGAGCTTTTGTGCACAGGGTTGCTGTGAGTCTCAGTTGACTCAACAGTACATAACAATAACAACAATATGTTGTTGTTGTTAAGTCTCTTCGAGTCATAGGCGACTCATCCTATGAACAAAAGACCTGAACACTTGTACACAACTCTCATCCTTTTTCCAGGTTCATTGGGTTTCTGGAGGCAAGCTATTTCGGAAGTGGATGCCACTCCTGCTTCCAAGCTTGTTTTGTTTGTTTGTTTGTTTGTTTTTCTCTACTATTAATACAAGTTCAAACAAATTATTTCAATTTCCCTCAACCCTCTTCACCCATGAAATTGTACAACCCAATGATTAATCTCCTCCTCCCCCTGAACATCCACATCCCTCTACTTCCAGCCTCTCCCACCCCTCCTGGATCCTTATATTCATTCTACAATAACAGTTTTATACAATATTTATCTATGTGGGACTGAATTAGTTCACTCAGCATAATGCTTTCCAGTCCCTCCCAAATTAGATAATAATTTACAAAGTTATTCCTCCTGCGTGCTGCATAGTATTCCATAGGGTGAATGTACCATAATTTTTCAATCCATTCGTTTGTGGTTGGACATTTGTGCTGTTTCCATATTCTTAAGATGGTGAATAATTCTGCTTATGAACATTGGTGTACAAATCTCAGTTTTTACCTCAGTTCTCATATTCTCAGGGTATAATTCAAGTTGTGGAATAGCTGGGTCATATGTAAAGTCCAAGTTTGTTTTAATCAGGGAGCTCCACAAAACATTGTCCACCATGGGTAACCATGGTACTTAACAACAATATAGATATTTAAAATAACAACCTATAAGGCTGGTATTATTTTATACATAGTTTTATGAAGATTCATTTTCTAAGAATTTTTTGGTTGTTAGGCGCCATTGAGTCAAGTATGACTCATATAGACCATATGAACAAAAGGCCGGAACCCTGTCCTATCCTGTGCCATTCTCATCATCTCTGACACACTTGAGGCCATTACTGCAGTCATTGTGTCAGTGCATCTTGCTGGGGGATCTTCCTCTCTGACGCCTACTCTTAACCTTTTCCAAGTGTGATGTCCCTTTCCAAAGAATAGTTTCTCTCAACAACATACCCAGAGTATGGGAGACAAAGTTTCACAATCTTTGACACCAGAGAACACTCTGGCTAAACTTTCCCCAAACATATTTTTGTTCTTTTTGCAGTCCATTGGATATTCACTACTCTTTTTGCAATCACAATTCAAAGGTATCAATTTTTGTTAGAAGATAATTTTTATTTAAATTCAGCCTTAGAAGATTTTATTCTAATATCTATTACTCTTGTGCCAATGAATACCTGGTTTATAATAATGTAGCTTTCTGTACGATAGTGTAAGATTTCTTAGCATTTTCAATAACTTGGTTAAGTGTCTATAAAACTTGGTCTAGATAATGTTAGTGGATATTTTAAAGAAAACATACAAACATTTTCTCTTTGAGAAATATATTATTTGCACAATTAATGTTTTATTAATGTGCATTATTTTTATTATTATACTAGTTTACTTACAGAATTCTGACACATTGTTTTCCAGAACAGACTCTTCCAATTTCCCACACACCCCATCCATAAAATTGTACAACCCCATGATTAATCTCCCCCTCACTTGTACATCCTCATCCCTTTGCTCCCACCTCCCCCTCCTCCAATCTTTATACTCATTCCTCAATAATGGTTTTATACAGTATCTGTCCTTGTGGGGCATAATGCTCTACAGTCACTCCCAAGTTAGGTAATAATTTACACAATCATTGCTCCTCCGTGCTGCATAGTATTCCATTGTGTGAATGTACCAGAATTTTTTAATCCATTCATTTGTAGTTGGACATCTGAGCTATTGCATTATTCTTTTTAACTCTCTTGTTAGTGCTGTAGCAAATAAATCTAACTTTATTTTTTAAAAAAAGTATTAAAAAGAATTTTCCATATAAAATGTTTGTTAAATATTTATAAATGTGCAATATGGAATAGTTTATATGTTTCCTAATTTGAAGGAAATATATAAAAGTAAGTAATATAATGAACCAGCTCTAATCACTAATAAATGTTACTGAATTTTCTTTCAAAATTGATTCTCTAGAGAATTGTACAGCATCTTCAGCAAAATTTGCTCATCATTCTATTCTTTCTTCACAGTTATCTGCAGCCCTGGATCTTATAATCCCCAGGAAGGAATTCACTGCCTTCGGTGCAATAACAGCCAGATGTATGGGGCAAAAATTTGCTGATAGACCATTATTTTGAATTCTACAAATATTTCTTCAATGATTTGTTAAGCATGTGCATATTATTGAAATATGTATAATAAATCAATATTATGCTATAATTAAATAGATTTTACAAAATATGGTGTCATTTTAATCATACAGTGTGTTTAAAAGCTTTATAATGGTTATCATCTGTATTCTTTTTATGTCAGACATACGTATAACTCCAAAATGTCTTCTGTACCAATGCTTTTTATAGCAGTGGATTAAAATATTCTGTTTTGAGCTACTTCAAAGGATTGGTCAAGATTTATTCTCAATATTAGCTTTACTCAAGCCATCATGTTCTCCCAGTCACTTCCAATTTAGTGGTTTCATTCCTTTGATTTAATTTTATAGTATCTTAATTTGTTTTTAGAACTTGACTTTTTACAATTCAAGTCATCATTAAGTTGGATTCTTATAGCTACAATTTTTATCTTTAGTGTAAGACCTACTTTCAGCCATGCCTGGTGCTTTTAATATATTTCAATATGACTATCTTAGATTTCAACAAACAGATGCTATCCCTGGATGTGCTCACCAAGTTCTGAGAAGAATATGAAGAACAACCACCTAACAATTACTTACTATGCATCAGAAATCTGGACAATGACTAGAGATGATAGAAAGAGAATTAATGCTTTTGAGCTGTGGTCCTGGAGAAGAGTACTGCATATACCATGGACTGCCAAGAGAACAAACACCTGGAGAAGGTGAAGCCAGGCTGCTCCTTGGAGGAAAGGATTCTGAAGCTTTGTCTGACATACTTTGGGCATGATCCTTGGAGGGGGATGTCATGTTTGAGAGAGGGTGGAGGGACAGTGCAAGAGAAGAAGACCCTCAATAAGATAAAGGTAAATAATCCAATAGAAAAATGGGCACAGGATATGAAAAGACACTTCACCGAAGAAGACATCCAGATGGCTAACAATCACATGAAGAAATGTTCAAAGTCCCTAGCTCTCAGAAAGATGCAAATCAAAACAACTATGAGATATCATCTCACCCCAGTAAGAATAGCAAAATATAACAGAACAGCAAGCAACAAATGCTGGCGAGGATGTGGAGAAACTGGAACTCTTATTCACTGTTGGTGGGAATGTAAGATGGTGCAACCATTGTGGAAGGCAGTGTGGCGCTTTCTCAAAAAATTGCAAATTGACCCAGCAATCCCATTACTGGGAATATACCCCAGAGAGTCCATGTCTGCCATCCAAGCAGATATATGCACACCCATGTTTATTGCAGCTTTGTTTACAATAGCAAAGAGTTGGAAGCAGCCTGAGGGCCCATCAACAAACGAATGGATAGAGAAGCTGTGGTATATCCACACAATGGAATACTACGCAGCATTGAAAAACAAGGAACTCATGCAATATTATTCAAAGTGGGTGACCCTGGAGGACATTATGCTGAGTGAAATATCTCAGTCACAAAGGGACAATTACTGCATGGTGCCACTGTTGTAGAATGGGTCTGACATCAGGGTGGGGGTATGACAGAAAAAACTGTATGAATTATGTATATTGTATTGAAACAGATGAGGGAAAGAACAGATTAGAAGTGATATATGATTGAGTATTTGGTTAGCACAGGAATCCAGAATTAAGGTTGCATAGAGAAGTGTACTCAGGGTGGGGGGTGGGGAGAAGGGACGTGGGAATTGTATACTAATGAAGGAATTTTTTTTTCTTTTTTTTTTTCTCTCTTCAGAGGGGGAAGCGAGCTGGCGGGGAGGGGTGGGCAGGGAGAAAATTGCGGCAATGAATGAATGGAAATCTAAAACCTCTGTAAAAAAAAATTAAAAAAAGAAAAGATGAAATCTATCACTTTTTCATTTCAAGATGTCTGCTTCTAGTTCCATCCCAAGTCCCCGGGAGCAGGCAGAGGTGATTGAAAAAATCAGCAGATATTTTAAAATAAATACAAATTAAGGATTCTGCTTTCATTTAATTTGAATAAAAATCAGCTGTTATATCGTCAAAAAAAAGATGGATTGATTCAGTGACTAGGGTAATGGGAGTATCAGAGACAATAACGTTGGCACAGGACAGAGCAGGGTTTAGGGCTGTTGTCCTTAAGGTCGCTATGAGTTGCAGGCAACTTGACAGCATGTAACAGCAACAAAAACAATCTTAGAACTTGGTAGTTTAAAGCCGTTTAAATTATATTTGAGCTTTCTCACTGTAGAGTGTCAAGGAAATAAATTTTCACAATTTGTCTCATTGCTTTTATTAGTAAAATGAGTCTTGTATGATACAATACTGATCTTTTATAACATTAAGATACTATAATCTGATATGAATAATTGTTTATACCTAAGGTCTAATGTGGGGTTTTTAAGTGCATAGTTAATAAATACAAGCTCAGAATTTTTTAAAACAAATATAGCCAGTTGATATTTCCCTTTTTATCAGCACTTCTTTGAAAAATCATATGTGGGCTGTTATAACTATGATCTAATTGTTTTCATATATCTAATAAAATTTTTTTCAAGGGTTTTTGCTCTCTAATAAGTAATATTTAGAAATTCACAATGGGGTGAGTTGTTTTTCCTCTCAGCCGAGAGGAAACTTGTGAAGGAAAGAACCCAATTAAATATCCTCAAAACCACTACATGTTTTCTTATGATTTTTTTTAAATTGTAGCTGTAATAGTATTATATAATAAATGATTATATAATAAATAATTAATAATTGTATTTTATAATCATCATCACTTTCATGGAATGAAAATGATTTGTTTTAAAAACTTAGACCTTTTTACATAAGTTTGGCTGACTTTTTTTTTCTATCTGAAAAAAATGAATAATTTAACTTATGATACATTTTCCTGAGCTTTAGTAGCATTAATTATATCAGTAGCTAGTAAGCCTGAGAAAGCAAAGCCAATTATGACAGGAGTGATAAGTACTGATGAAGGTATGTCAAAAAAAAGATATGGTATGGGATAAGAGTAGACAAAAAGGAGGGAGATGATAAAAATGATATAATTTTACCTTTTGAAGACAGACCATAAGTAAGACCACACTAAAATCAGAGGATGGGATAGGTAAGTCAGTAGTCTATATAAATTGAGACAGAGGACGAAAACAGGGAAAGAAAAGGAAAGCAACTCACTTTTTCTTTGTACAAGTTCCCATAGTGAAAACAGCTTTATTGTACTGCATCACTTGTCATATTAATTTTGTTGATGATGTATTTGTCTGTCATCCGCATTCTAATATACTAACAGATAGTTTCCTAGACTTTAATAATTTTAATTAATAGGATATTAATATATTCAGAATATGAGATTTTTCTGTTTTATTAACAAATATGTGAAATGATAAATTTAAAGTGACTGCAAAACATATAGTACAAATTATAAATTAATCCACTAGAGAGATAAGTATCATAAAACCATTTTATTAGTATTTTTGCAACAGTAAAAAATCTTAAACTTCTATAATCCATTAATTTTCATAAAACCTTGTTTTATTTACATGATTGAATCATTACATTGACCTAGGAATGTAGCAGGGCTAATGTGATTTCCATATGGTGTTTTACTGAATAATTTTTTTCTTATTTAATATGCATAACACATGTTTGTTTGGAAAAATGTAAATATAACACTGAAAATTTAAGTCCAATAATCTCATTTAAAGGAAACTCCTATAGAAGTAGATCAGAAATAAAGAGAGATATTACAGAGTGGTATTAATTGCCATATTTATGTAATAATGAAAACGGAATTAACATAATTACTTTAAAAATAGTAACAGTTGAATAAATGACACTATTTCCATAAGTTACAATGTTTACCTATTAAAATAAAATGGAGTAAAGACATTACTCACCTCTCCAACATTTAACAAGATTCCAGTCATTAAAATAATTTTAAATTAAGTTAATATTTTTACTACCTTTAAAATGAAATTAAATTTAATTAATATTGGGAATATAACTATCTATATTTCAGTGTGAACTTACAGACTGTGGTGTTAATTATCAGCAGCTGTGGGACTATGATAAGAGATAGAGTGCTTCCCATACTGAATGGGAAGACTTGGAGACTTGAACAAGACCCTGGTGAAAGTGAGACTGTGGTGGTGAGACCATGGCATTGCTGTGGAGAAACTATTGCAAGATATAACCAGAGGAGCCCTGAGATAAAAGCCACAATTAAAGGTTTTGCTATTCTTACTGGATAATTTAAAGAGAAGCTAACTTGAAACTGCTCTGAGGCAATCTTGCTGGATGATTTGGATTTGACTGATGGAATGAAACCAGGACTTTTACTAATGAAGGAATTGTGTTTGGCTATTAATCTGGCTTGGAACTGCTAGACTAAACCTGGGCTTTAATTGTGAGATATTTTTTTCCTTCTTCCACTCCCAGACTTTATTTCCCTAATAAACTCCACTCTTGGTACCATGGCTATGAGTAAAGTCATTGAGCCAATAAGGAATAAATAAATATCTTGTTGATGTTGTGACTCTAGAGGTACCATAGGGCTAAGCTATGGACTACGTTCTGCTCTGCAGTGGAGAAGGGCAGTGCTATTATCACTCCTGGTCCTTTCAGAAAGATTCTCAAGCCCCTATGCCTCCATGTCTCATTTTCCCTCTAGACCCATGTAGTATTATTACCTGTTTAAAGTATTTTAAAATGCTTTTATTAAGCTTTTATTTAAAATATATTGAAATGTTAACAATGGTTCTCTTATACAATAGGATCATGTGTGTTTTTAATATTCTTCTTGATTTCTTGTGTTCTAAATTTTTTAAATTGAAGATTAAATACCAAACCTTAAAAGAAATAAATACACATCAAAGCCAAATGAAAATAGCAATCTATAGAAGACATTATTGCTTGTCTCTCCAACATCAATTGATTTCTTCCTTCCCTCCTAACAGAGCACCAACTTTATATTATTTACTTTAAAAAAGGGAGAAAGGGATTCTCTTTAACAATTCAGCACATGGATTTTTGACT